CATGTGTCCTGGGAGTCTGTAATTAAAAAGTCATGCTTAAATTTCCTAGCCATCTTTGCCCTCCCTCAGTTGGATCTCCCTCAATTGGATCATTTGTGTTCTAGCAACAAAGAAAATAAGACAGATTTTGGTACCAGAGTAGGTGTGCTGTCGCTGTGACTACCTGATCATGTGGTTCAGAAGCGCTTGGAACTGGCTTTGAGGAGGAATTTTGAAAGATTTGGAGATTCTGGCTTATGAAGCAGCCTTAGAATACTGTAAACCTATCTTGATGGGAAATTGTGGACAGAGCTCAGAAGGCCAGAATGCTGATAAAAAGGCAGCTGGTAAAGATCAGGCTCAGGAGGTTTCAGTTGGGAAGAAGGACTGCAGTGGCAGTTGGACTCCAGGCTGTATGTGTTATGCTCTGGCAGAAAATATGTCTATAAATTTGTCAGAAAATTTATCTGCTATACTGAGACATTATGAGAGACTGAGAGTAAGGATGGCGGACTAATATATCTGGTGGAAGAAATTTTGAGGCATTCTAATGTTGAGGCAGTAGCATGGCAACTGTTATGGACTTTTAGTGAGCTTTACATTGAGAATCAAGAGAATTCACACAGGTGAATAATTTTAAAAGTTTGGAGTTTTGCCAGGAAGGAAACTCCTATAAAGTTGGGGACTGCAAAGATGGAGTAGAAGAGAACTTAGCTGCCAAAAGATTAGCATTTAAAGGAGGCAAGTATAGTAACTTACAACAGGACAATAGAAAAAATGCTTTGAGGGAATTTGAGAAACCAATATGGCTCCTGTCCTTGGCAGGCTCAAGATTTCAAAGGTGAAAGACTTCTTTGAGAAGAGATCCCTAGGGTACAAATCCACCAGAATGGTTGCTAACTATGGAAATTTTTCCTCAGGATTTAATTCCTAGTGCTCAGCCATCCAGACATTCAGAAACCCCTACAGCCATGATAGATGGAAACCTGGCTACTGCTCCAGCCAGAGGCAGACCTTGACATCATCTGTGTGGTACTGGTTTTAGGTGCATGCATAATGCAAGAGTTTTGAGGTTAGGAAGGCTTCCACCCAGATTTCAGAAGAATGCCTCAGAGACCAGGCAGTGTGCCTTTGTATGTCAGCTGCGTTTAAGTTTCTTTTAATTTTTACAGGGGCTCACAGCTAATAGTTTGCCCTAAATCTCAGAGGAGACTTTGGACTTGGACTTTTCAACAGTACTGAAACTTTTAGGACTTTAGCAACTCTTAGAGATGAACTAAGCGCATTTTGCATAAAAGAAAAACATGAATCTTTTGGAGTCCAGGGATGGAATGTTACAGTTTATAACATAAGTGGAGCTTTTGGGAGGCGATTGGATCATGGGTAGATGATACTAATCAGCAGTTTAGACCACTGATGTGTTTATGGCTAAAATGCGATGTTTGAAAGTGAAACCTGGAGAAAGGAGGTGAGTCACCAGGGCCATGGCTTAGAATGCTAAAGCTCTCTTCTTCCTCTCTTGATCTTTCTGATTCTGTTGCCATGTCATGAGCTCTTTCTCCTCTACCCTGCCCCTCTACCATGTCACCCTGTCTTGGAACGAGCTGACTATGAACTGAAGACTACAATCTGTAAGCCATTATAAACCTTTCCTTCTGCAATTTGTGGGTGTTGAGCAATGTGTCCCAACAATGAAGAAAGAAACAAAGATAAGATGGAAATGGAAAGATCCTAGAGAAAAGCTCTGAAGATACAGAGTTAACAAGATATAAAAATATACCAGAAAAAGGAAGCACAAACATTAACTTTTCCTAGCAGTATTTGCCAATTTGATGGTAATGTACTCCTCTACATATGCTTTTCTTCCTGGAATAAAGCTGAACTGGGGGTAGTCTTCGATGAGATGCTTATACCCCACCCATGTCTTTCTCAGGCCAACGATCCTGTCTCTGCTTTAATTTGTTCTTGAAGAGGACAAAGCCACTTATCCCCTTCATCATTAGAAAGACCCTCAATCCCACAGACAGAGAGTTTAGTAGAGAGCAAAGTACTTCTTATGCCAAAGGTATGAGCTCAGTCTTGATATGAGCTGGTGAAGCTTGTATAATCATTACCAATCAATGTGCTCCACAGGGACTAGAGAAAGACAGTATGTCTGTATTTGCTCAAACTCATCCCAACATAGTCCAAAGTGAGTGACTGGGATCATCTTCCTAGACAAAAGATAACTTGTTCCAAAGGGATACTTTTTATAGTGAAATTCCAAATCACTTCTTGGCCTTTTAGCTAAGATCAAGTGTAGTACATAGAAAATTCCATCTGGGTAAATATATAGCTTCTTATTCTTGTCCCTGAAGGATTTATACATATATGAAGCCATTCTGGTCCCACTCTGTTTAGCTACATATTATTTCTAACATAAAACCAACAAATTAGTTAATGGAAACAATAAAAATAGAACACTCTCTCAAAAGATAAGAAAGAAAGAAAGAGAAAGAAAGAAAGAAAGAAAGAAGAAAGAAAGAAAGAAAGAAAGAAAGAAAGAAAGAAAGAAAGAAAGAAAGAAAGAAAGAAAGAAAGAGAAAAGAAAAGAAAAGAAAAGAAAGGAAGGAAAAGAAAAACTTCTGCAGGAATGTTGAAAATAATCAAGATCCGCTGAGCTTGGCAGTTTCCCATAGTTTTCATTTAGCATGGCGTCCAAGTAAAGTACACTGCCAATAGTGCAGGAAAACTCATTCCACAGAAGTACACTGAACATTTTAAATGTCACCAGTATGGTTCCATAGCCTTCTACTGATGATTGAATATACAGCCTGTACTTTTTCTTTTGCTCAGGTAGGCAGCAGTCCAACATTCTCTAGATTCTAACCTAATTTTTCCAAGCAATAATCTATCAGTGTTGCTACCTATAAAATAAACAGTCTTCCAGCATTCAATGGCTAGTAGTGTCAACATTTGTCTCAACACTGGATAGTATTTCTAAGGAAACTACCCCCTGTTGGGAGACCTTACAAGACTGCATCTGACATAGATGCCTCTGTTCTCTGCTTAGGTCAAACTGACTAAGAGCTCAATTTGTTGCTATAGGTAGAAGTTTCTCTTCTCCAGCTGGCTGCAAAGCTGGAACTGAGAACATATTTATAAGCAGAAGCAAATAACATGCCTAAAGGAATTTACTACCTGTCACAAACCATGTCAGACATTCAGAGTTAACTCTGTAGTTCCAGGTAGGTGCTTTCCTTCCCTTTTTTAAAATTTAGTTTTTATTAGTACGTTCTTGCAGTACATAATGTTTACATTCCTTGTGTGAAGTTGGTACATATACATAAGACATCTGAATTCCTTTTATATCCCCTTTTCCTCTCCTCTTTCCCCCTCCTTCGATCTCTCTATCCCCTTCCTTTTTGAGAAGGATCTTATTCCCCCTTCTTCCCTTTTAAACTGATCTCTCAAAAGACCTTGCCAATGTTGAAAATCTTTCTTTAGGAAGAAAAGAATGTACCATTGGTGGGGAAAACTTGCTCAACAACCATGTCCAAGACTCTGCAGGGACACAAAGAGATAAATCACATTGTCTCTGTTTTTCTAGTCAGCAGCTACATAAGACTTTTCACTCTGGAAATAACACTCATTTCTACAAGGCTTTTCAACTTGTTTTTCTACTTGAGTTGGGGAAAAATTGACCAGGTTAAACTAATATTCTGTCAGGGAAATCAACAGACACTAAAAAACAACCCAACTCAGTGCAGACTCTACAAAGCTGTCTCTGGAAAATGCATCATTAGAAAGCAACTCTGGCTCTGTGCACAACTTGCTTTTTTAGGTGTTTAGTTTTCCAAACTTTTTTCACAGGGACAAGTGGTTATAAAGAAATTTAATAGATAAAGATCTCCTAAAAACAAATAGAAGAAAGACATCAAAATAGCACCAGCACGTCTGGCCTAGATTGTGACAGGTAGCAAACTTGTTTAGACTTATTTACTTCTAGCTATAAATACATCTTAATTTATAGGTTACATGTTTAATCCTAAATTTTGTGGTACTTATCATCTTGGTCTTTACAAAGAGAATTATCTCTTTTAGAGGTCAAAAGAAAGTCTGAGGTTTTGTTTCAGCCACTCTAGAAAGGCCTCATAAGTACCCTTTCAACGGCACTCCTCTTGGAAAGTTCCTTATTACTTAACGCATGACACTTCACAGAGTTGCCAAATTTTACATATATGTGTATGTATCAGATATCTAGATAGATAGATAGATAGATAGATAGATAGATAGATAGACAGATAGATAGATAAATCTAGAGAACTTGAAGACAATGCAATAAGGTTTGGAAAACAGAAGCCAAGAACACACTGAGTAAAGTTGATTAACCTATAAAACAGAAGGCTGAAGAAAGGCAATAAATACTTCCTGAAGTTTAAAAAGAAAAAGGAATCAAATGAGACCAGGGTAAGGCTGCTTTCTAATATTGATCAGGGAGAACTCTTTAGATTCTAAGATGGACAGACTCAAGACTGTCAAGGCTATATTAAAGCTCTGTATAGATGGAAAGATAGGAAGTAATACCTAACTATTCCAAAGTTGTTCAAATCTCTTTCGCAGTTCCAGCAAATTTCATGGAGAGGGGAGAAATTTGGGGGTGATTATAGAATGAAACGGTAGCTTTAAAAACAGCATAGTTGTAGTTGATCCCTTGGCTTAACACAAGGAGAATATACTTTACAAGTTGGTTTGCAGAATATCACTTTCTATTTAGTCAATGCTGCCAAGAAAACTGTTGGAATTCTTAGTAATTAGCTCAGCAATGGCTTGAACACAAAATATTGGCTCTGAAACAGCCATATTATCACAACCACCTCATTTTAATCTCAATTTTCAGCAAATTTCCAGTATCAAGCTGAGATGACACCTCACTTACAAAGGTTCCAGAAAGAGAAGGTGCCCCATATAGTACCCAATTAAAGTATTTTATGAAGGGGCAAAATGAGTATCTCTGAGCTTATTTTCTTCTGCTCTCCCAGACCTATGACATGGAGCAGACTTTCTACAGCAATGGAGAGAAAAAGAAGATTCACATGGAAATTGATCCCATGGCCAGAACTGAAATATTCAGAAGTGGAAATGGCACTGAAGAAACATGGGAAGTGCATGACTTTAAAAATGTAAGTTGGATGTATTCCCCCTAAGGTTTATCACTTAAAATTTAGAACATTTGAGACAAATTTAAAATAGTCTTTAGACTTACTTAATTTAAAAGACAAATTTTCCATTTGAATTTAAATTTAGCTAGTCTGTAGCCCTGACAGATAATGGAACTCATTTCTTGTGACTATTTCAGGAAGTTTTATTACTGTTTTATTTTTGTTATAGGGATATACTGGCATCTTCTTTGTAGGTCTTCAAAAATGTTTTATCAAAACTCAGATTAAAGTGATTCCTGAATTTTCTGAACCAGAAGAGGAAATAGATGAGGTATGTAAGAATAATGGTGGTAGTAAACATCATCTGGGTGCTAACAATATGTGAAACATTGTACTATTTTTTAGAATTTCGTTTGGTTCTCAAATAACCCTACTGATAGGCACTACTATAATCTCCCATTTCATATATGGAAACTAAGACTCATAACCAAAATTGACTTGTCCGAGGTCCCATAGCTAGTGAGTAGTGGATCTGGGTCTTAAATTCAAAGAACTAAAGTTTATGCTTTTGGGTAAAATACTATGTTTTTTATACTTGTATGCCCATCAACATTATATATATTTGCTCTCAAACCAAAGATTTCAACCAAGTAAGGTGAGCCAGAGGGACAAAATCAATCTTGCCTAATATAAACTTTTTTTCCTCATTGAGTTTATTGGTACATTTTAGGTATATACTTTTAAAATAATAAGTCCCAAGACCTCTTGGCATCCTAACTATTTTTGTCACACTCCAACAGTCACCTATTTTAAAGATTTCTGTTTTTTCACCTTACCATTTTAGGCTGGGTTGTTAATGGAATAAATCATATTATTCCTCATTAGGAAAAGTAAAACAAAAAATTTGAGAACTTCAGTGTAATATGAATTCTCTGAAAACACTACTAGGCTATAGTGAGGCAACCTAGGATATCAGTCTTTGTTACTTTTCTCTCATTGCTGAGATAGAATACCCAACACCTAAAGCTAAAAAAGGAAAGGTTTATTTTGGCTCACAGTTTGTAGAGGTTTCAGTTCATAGTTGGCTGGCTCCAAGACAGAGTGGCATGGCAGAGGAGAAACAGTTCATGGCAGGCAGAAGTCAGCAAAGCAGCAAAAGAGTGAAAAAGCAGGACACAACAAGTGATAAGCTATGATACTCTTTCTGTCCCTTATACCCTATTCAGACTATTCACCCTTCCAGTGGGAAGCACTAACACCCAGGTTATGGCAGCTGTAATCCTAACATCACATCATGAATAAATCCTACCCTCACATCCTTGATCTCATCAGCACACACCCTAGATCCATTCACCTCCAAAAAGCCCCACCTATGACTGCATGAGGCTTTGTGGGGACATCTAGATACAAACCATAACAGGGTGCAATCATTGAATGACTCTTGAAAGCCTAGGGGGAGATGGACCATTACTGCCTAGAATAAAACCATCATTATATCTTGTGAGGTTTTAAATTTTTTTTCCTGGTATTCTATCTGTAATTACAGTATGGGGAAAAGAAAACCCTTAGCTAAAGCCATACTGTAACAGCGTATCCACACTGTAAGAAGAAACAAATAATCATTTCTTTAGTTTTGATTGACTTGGTTTGGTTTAGTGTGTTTAACCACCACCAAATCTAAAATGGATTATGACAACAGCATCATGACCTCTATATGCTATAAAAACCTCTTTCTCTTTCTTCTCTTTTTACTGTTTTTTTTTTCACTTTTCTCCAGCCCAACTCTTCATCATAATTCACAATGACTCCTTTATCTTTTTCTTTTTCTTTTCTTTGTTTTAGGAGGTGGGGTTGGGGAGACCCTTTTGCTTCTCCTTACCGCCATCTCACAACTGTCATTGGTTTCCACACCAGTTTCATGCTACTGGTCTCCTCACAGCCAGAGAAATTACAGAGCCTTGTTGCTAGAATTTCTAAGAAAATAACTCCAAAGGTGATGCTCTGCTCCCAAGGTCTATGACAATAACAGACTGTAATTTTTTTAAAATAACTTGTCAGATGCTTCTGAGAAACAGATCAACTTCCAGAGTATTAATAATGACTATAGGAAGCAACAATAGGATAAAAGGAGAATCAGTGTTATGTATGGTGTCACACACCTGTACTCTCAGCACTCAGGAGGCTAAGGCAAGAGTATCGCTGCAAGTTCAAGCCCAGCCTAGGCTACAGTATGAGTTTAAGGCCAGCCTGAAATACATAGAGAGACTCTATCTCAAAAACACCAAAGAAAAAGTGGGAAGGACAAGCAATAAGATTAATATTTTTTGTACTATCATACAATTATTTTTACAGAAAATATTGTAAGAATTTGAGTATGGCCAGCTACCAATGAAAGCTTCAAGTGATATAACACAATTTATTTTTCTAAAAGAAATGAGTGAAAAACATAAAGTTTCAGTTGGGCCCTAATTTATTTTTCATTTAATTTTGCTAAACTTTTTAAATAACACAAGTATTCATGTCATCACAGTAAAATTATTGCACCTTGAAGAAAAAAATCTATTTTTTTTGTATTTGAAATGCAGGTTTTTTACCAATCAAATCTGGAGTCCTGAATAACAAAAATATCCTTCTTATTCTATCCTTTCTCCTATGGTGTGTGCATGTTAAACATGCAGAGCAGGTATATAAATAAACCTGATTTTGCTAACAAAGCTAGTTAGCATATCACCCTCATTTTACACAATGCCTTTCAATACATCAGAAGGTCTTTACAGACTCAAGAGAAAAAGAGCCAGAACTTGAAAGCTGCAAATGACTTAGAGAAAAAAATTATATAAAGGTATATTTCAGACATTAAATGAAAATGCTGGAGTCATAAAACTAGAGAGAAACAAAGGAGAAAAAGAAAAAGCTTTATTAAAAATGGGGGATTATTGAAGATTTAATGATGAGTAAGAACTAATTATATAAGAAAACACTAAAAAACTAAAAAAAGATATCATTCTTAATAATATTATAAAGTCTTCATAAAGCAAAAACACTTTGAGACAAACCCTATAAATCTAGAATGAGAGGGATAAAATAATGGTGAGTCCAGCAAAGTCATAAGTTGGAGACTGACTTTAAAACATAAAAAGTCATCTTTTGTACCACAGTGAGTTGCCATTAACACAAAACCTTATGAAAGAAAAATATATGTCCAGTTGCTGTTTAACTCCTCTAACTAGTTTGAATAATAGGATTTTTCTTTTCAGTTTGAAAGCAAATCCTGGTGGCAACCTAGCTGAAGCTTAAAACAAAGCAGACACTCACAGCATCCATTTAAAAGAGAGAGATTGTAAATCACTTCAAGTTCCAGAAGTTCAGATTAAAACATTCATAGCCCAGGGGGAATCCTATAGAATGAGAGAAACTCCTGACTGTAAGTGAAAAGATAGCAAAGAAAGCATGGGCACAGAGGTAGTTCACCAGCAGCTCTAGACTGAAGCTGTTAGACTCAAAGGTCTCATTCTTCTTTTTAAATTTTTTCTGCCAATCCACACCCTGAACAACTTTCTTCTTTCAGAATGAAGAAATCACTACAACCTTCTTTGAGCAGTCAGTAATTTGGGTCCCAGCAGAAAAGCCTATTGAAAACCGAGACTTTCTTAAAAATTCCAAAATTCTGGAGATTTGTGATAATGTGACCATGTATTGGATCAATCCTACTCTAATAGCAGGTATACATCTTATCCTCCTTTTCTCTTCCTCCCAAACACAGTCACAGCTACTATTTCCAGCATACAGAAACTACATTTCTAGGAAAATAAATGATCAGCTTATATCTTCTTGGATGAAACTGTATGTGCTGACTGCCAGCGAGGAGGCAATTTTTCACAGCCGGGTTATAAATCAGATAAATGAATGCTGACAGGCTTTTAAATATCTCAGCAAAGGTAACACCACACTAATGCATCTAATGATAGCAAAAGACTAATCTGTCTTTCTTGGCACATTTATATTCATCACAGGAGGAATGCCACACAATTACTTAAGCCAGTGTGGGTCCAGCTTAAGAACACAGGAGAGAAGGGGCAAAACAATGTTGTGTTGTCTCAAGGATTCTCTATGTCAAATGATGGCATTCTCTGCAGAAGACAGGGCAATCACTGCAGTACAAATTTCTTTGTGGCTGTTTAAGAATCATCATAAAAATCAATTGAGGGCTAGGGGTTCAGAGTAGAAAAGCCTAGCCCTCGACTTCTCCTCTGCCCAGTGAGATCTCTAGACATTTTATTGCCTAGTTAATACAAAGTTTCGTCTTTCTCATTGTTGACAGCACACAGTACTATGTTACTCTATAGAGGATGCTTCTATGAATGTTTGCATCTACTGATATTCTTTGGAGGTTTAAGAAAAAAGTGACTAATGTGGTAGCCTAGACTGAATATTGGAACAGAAGAAAAGGACATTAGTGGAAATATAGATGAAGTCCCAATAAAGTTAATAGTTTAGTTAATAGTATTATACCAATAGTAACTTGGTTTTTGAAAATTTAATTGCTAACTTCATCCTTTTTTTTGGTAGTAGGGATCGAACTCGGGACCTTGCACTTGTGAGGCAGGCGCAATGCCACTGAGCTAAATCCCCAGCCCCTAACGTCTTACTTTTGATCATTTTTACCATGGTAATGTAAGATAACACTAGGAGAAACTCGGTAAAAGGTACATGGGAATTCAATACTATCTTTGCAACTCTTTTACAAATCTAAGATTGTGTCTAAGTAGAGAATGTTTTGAAATTAAGACGTTTTTAGAAAAGAGACAGGAAAGAAAGAGAAGGAAAGATATTGTCAAATCAAATTAGGCAAGCAAGAAATATTTTTGAGTACTTATGGATAAATCATTGTGGAATGAATAGAAATTCCTTTTTCTCAGTTATTAATGTAGTACACTAATAAGGAAAAGCAGTAGATGCTTAATGTCAAACAAGCAAAGTAGTTGTGTGCATGGGAATGGTGAAGTTTTTTTGGAAAATATTCAAGATTTCAATTGAAGAAGCTTGAAAAAGTGGTCCACATACCCCTAAATGATGCCAATCAGAAGACACAATGAAAATCTCCATTCCAGGGCAAGGGATTTAGCTCCATGGTGCTGCCACCTGCCTAGCAAACTCAAGGACCTGAGTTCAATCCCGCCCCCCAATAAAGAAAGAAAGAAAAAAGAAAAGAAAAAATCTCCATCCTCGACTTCTATTCCCCCCAAACACTTCTTTCAGAAACACTTAAGAGCAGTTGCATAATAATATTGTATCTATTATCTTAGTTTCTGAGTTACAAGACTTTGAGGAAGATGGTGAAGATCCTCACTTCCCTTCCAATGGAGAAAAGGGGATTGAACAAAATGAGCAGTGGGTGGTTCCTCAAGTAAAAGTGGAGAAGACCCGTCACACCAGACAAGCAAGTGAGGAAGACCTTCCAATAAATGACTATGTGAGTTGTATTCATCTTACTCTTTTTAGAGGAGGATCAAAAAGCCTTCATAAAAGTTACTAGCCAGCAGAACACAATCATTGGAAGCATGATCATGGTTTTAACAAACAAATGTGTAAGAAACTTGGAATCTCCAGGTGGCTTATATATTGATAGATTGATACATCCCCATGGTCAGCCTGAGAAATTTAATCTCTCAACAACCTCTTCATTCATAGAGTGGTGTAATTCTTTCCTGATTGACAGAGCCTCTTCCTAGTAAACTTTACCTTCCAATACTGTCTTCTTCATGTTTCAGACTGAAAATGGAATAGAATTTGACCCCATGCTGGATGAAAGAGGTTATTGCTGTATATACTGCCGCCGAGGCAACCGCTACTGCCGTCGTGTCTGTGAACCTTTACTAGGTTATTACCCATATCCATACTGCTACCAAGGAGGACGAGTCATCTGTCGTGTCATCATGCCTTGCAATTGGTGGGTGGCCCGCATGCTGGGAAGGGTCTAAGGAAGTTCGAGTTCAAATACTTAACCTTCTGTCAGCCACCATATAATAGATGCATGCTATCCAATGAATTGCTGCCTATGAGGCATTTAGTTTCCTAGTAGCCAGTTTTCCAGAATTACTTGTAGGTAATTCCTCTCTTCATGTTCTAATAAACATCTACATCATCACCAATGGCCTGATCGCTGCTGAACATGATGGGTAAGTGTTTGTTAAGAATATTCCTGGTAACTGAACTGGAGCAGATCTATCTAACATGGATGGCAACAATGGAGAGTTGCACTTTATCATCGTTTGAAAGTAGAAAAGGATAAGGCATAATTATTCACAAATTCCATATTTTACTCTGCTGTACTGAGAAAGTAGAAATATGAGGATGGTGACAAAGTGGCTCCATAAGTGATGCAGGAAAATGTATCATTTTGTGCATAACCACAGTGCTTAATTATCTGAAAGATATATTGTGGTGCTGTTTCAGTATCTCTTAAGCCTCAGGACAGGAAGTGAGTCACAGAAGCTAAACTTAAAATGTTCCCAGTGCTCAGACTCACAAAAGGAGAAAACTAACTCAGAAAAAGGGTCCTATGCTCTCCTCTTTAGGAACAGAAATTGCACTTTGAACAAATTCAACATTGTATAACCTTTATGTCTGACTTCTCTTTAGATCAGTGTCTGATTACACAACTTTCCAAGGCAGTTATCTGAAAATCAAGACTGATAAATACCATTCACAGAAACAGGAATGATAGGGTGTTATTCAGGTGAAGAAACAAATGTAATTTCCCCTTCCAAACTACAGGGAACTGGTAATATGCCACTTGCTTAAAGAAAGGATAAGGCCCACTTTCCAGTTTTCCCATATTTTGCCTGAGAAAGGAAAAATGGACATAGGGGAAAGAAAAAGAATTGTTTAGTGGGTAACGGTAAACTTGATTTCCAAGCCAGGTCAACTTTCAGAATTCATGCTCTACCAATCTGTCAACTCTTCTGGTTTCATTTGAAGGCAGCATCCTTCATTGGTCAACTTCAAAGTTATGCTATAAAATTATTTGTCTGTACCTTTCTGTCAGAAAGATATTTTCAAATAAAATCTTCACCAAGGTGCCTGTGGACCAAGTGTCATTTTTTCCCATTTAATAGTTGAAAAAATACATAGAAACAGCTTTGCCCAAGGCTGAGTTAAGATGAGCTAGTCAAGCCAGGCATGGCAGCACACAAACGTAATCCCAGCACACTTGGAGGCTGAGGTATGAGGAGTTAAAGTTTGAGCCCAGCCTAGGAAATTTAGCAACTTAGTGAAACCCTGTCTCAGAATGAAAAATAAGAAAAGGGCTAGGGATGTAGCTCAGGGTGAAGATTAGCTAGTCATTGATAGTATACATGCTGTATTTGTAATATTAATTTTCATAGAATTAGAGCACAATAAAATAGATCTAACAATGCTTATCATAGAAATATTATCTTTTTTATTGATGGCTCCAAGGACATCTAATCATTTTGGACTGCTTAGATTATAATGTTATTAATTTATAGTTGAAATAGAAAAATGTAAAATATGGGATTAATTTCAGGTTTGTGGACTTTGTGGTGTTCTCTACTCTTGTTTTAAATAAATCATTCATTTTAACGCTTTTTAAAGATCAGCCAATAATTTTGAATTCCTGAATTCTATTTTATGAGTTATCTAGTATTCTATATGCACACTGCTCTGTAGGAGATATAAATAAAATAAAAACTATTTCTAAAGAAAGCTAAGCTATTCAAACTACGTAAGCACCAATACCTTAACTTATACCTATTCAACTACAGTTTTATATGCTATGTGCATAAAGACATACACACCAAAAGAGGTCATATCACATTTTCAGGCTCAGAGTTCCTGTTAACATTCTTTTAATGCAGGAAGCATTTCTTGTTCAAATTAGATACCTCAATCTCTAAATAATTTCACAGTGGGAAAGTGTGATCCTTTAATAAGGCAGAGCATGAGTTAAAAAGAAAAGAAAGATCATGCTTAAAGAAGGATTCAAGCAAGGTAAGAAAAGAAAAAGATTAAAGAAAAAACTCAGGTTAAAAAAGAAAAGAAAAACAGCAAACAATCCCAAACACATCAATCTGTTACTTCACCTTAGGTTGAGGCCAGGTGGGAAAATAAGTTATGATATCTCTCCTGTCATAGATTTTTCTCTCTTGTTTGAATCCTGTGTCAAGACTCATTAAATCACGTCTTATACTGCCTTCAGATCAATTCAGTAAAGCTACAGCAGCCTCTCCTACTTCTACTAGTCTTTTCTGAGCCCAGCTTACCCACACAAGGAGAAACAATGAAATAAACCTAACTTCGCAAACCAGAAATCTAGCTAGAATTTAAATGTACCTTTGTCTCCTACTCCAGTCTTTTGTCATATTTTTCCACCGTTCCCTACTAAACCATCTCTCACTTATGCTTATCGTCCAGGCTACAGTCTATTTCATAGTTCAGCTGTTGCCACCTCCTTCCTGCTGAAGTTGCCAGGTTGTAGATTGAAACTAACCTAAATGCTTTTATAAAAAGTTTCTCACTTACAGAATGTATTAAGGCTGTTTCTTTTTCTGAGAGTCTAATAGCTACTTATGACATTAAAGATCAAGCCTCACTTGCATTCAAAATGTCCTTAACCAAACCACACACAAGTACCACCTCCTATCCCTTGTCTCCTCCCACTGACCCACTCGGCTTTTGTCAGGCACCTTAGCTTCATGCTCTTCCAGTCACCCTTCCTCTTTTACAGAATATTCTCGCAGTAATATGAGGAGATTTTTTTCAATCCTATGTTTCTATTGCCTAAACATGAAATATAAATATTCTCTACTTCCTTCTATACCTGTATAGGTTACTATTGCTAAGCATGCCCTTTAGATATGACTTTAATATGCATGTTCTTAAAAAAAAAAGAAGGGAATGCATATTCTCTCTCATTTTGCTGTCTAAAATCTGGTATAGTATCTAAAACACATAGGTGACCTTTAAATGTGGTTTTAATTGAAAGCAATCAGTGAAGTTAGGGCAAGAAAGAAGAAAAAGAAACTGCAAAAAGCACAGCTACAAAGCTCTTCAGACCCTTATTTCATTTTTTTTTTCCCCTTTGGTCCCAGGGATTGAACTTGGGTCCTTGTGCTTGTGAGGCAGGCGGCGGAACCACTGAGCTAAATCCCCAGCCCCAGACCCTTATTTCAAAAACTTGGTCTTGAATTCTGTCCAAATTGAGAGCAAAATTTCTTATCTTACTTCAATTTATTTTTATATTCCTCATCTTTTGACAATTTCTACAAGAGTGAGGAATTCCTCTAATCCCAGAATGATTATATGCATCGATGATTGCCTACAGCTTCATGATCTATTTTCATTATACAAATCCAGGCTTTTTGCATTTTCACTGCAATCTTCAATGATCCTATGAACAAAAAAGAAAAATGGAAAAAGCATAGCTGCTGTGAAATCACAAGTAATATCATATTACCTTTCATATTCTTTAGGGATCTAAATTCCAATCAAGAAAAGGCGAAGCCATCCATTGTTCCCACTCAGCATAAGGACACTGCATTAGTGCACTCAGCGCCTTCCTGAACACCTAAAATGGCTCTTTGGCAGGACCAGGGGCAAAGGAAATCTATTTTGAGTCTTTATATATAAGGATCACTGTCTGGATGAGTCCAAAACTGTCATTTTGGCTCCTAAAGTCTAACACTGAAAGCTTACTGAGATAAATATGGACCTTCTCATTCAGGCTGTCAGGAAATGCGTGGATCTGTTTTATTTATACTCTTAAAAATTATTTTATCTTGGCTTTCTTTTTTTTTGAAGAAGTTTTACCCTGGTGCTTAATTTTGCTGACAGCATGCTGTTCCCTAACAAGAAGGAATGTGGTTCCATATTTTAAAATTAAGTATGAAGGTACACATAAAAATGTTGCTCTTGGCTTTATGAATTCCTGTTCCAAACTTACCTTCAATATATTTAGTCGATTTGTATGAAAACTATTTACCAATGACTACAATGATGTTTGTCTAGATCAATATTCAATTCTAGCATTTGTAGCCCAATGAGTAGTTACTTGTTTACTTGCTGCTTTGATATTTGGTTCCATTTACCTATTTTTTTCTTCTAGCCTCTTCTTTTATACCTGTGCCTGCTGTTCTTGCTAAAAGGGCTCAGAAAGAGAGCCAAACTGAATAAGGGAATCAGATCAAGCCACAGTAATAATTAACCAAAACAAATAGCAACAAAATAACAATTTCATAGTGATCAGATAATCGCTGACGGTTATATTAATATTTTGTTTATACTTATTTTCTGCTGGAAGCTATCATCTTCCATCCTGAATTTTCTACCAACTGCAGGACTTCTGCTGGTCTTGCAAAGATGCTGGCTACTAGACCAAAATTCAGATTTACTCACGTATCAGCCATCAGTAAGCAATAAGCAAGACATCTGCCAAGGGTAAGGGATTTAGTGTGCAAGCCCTGGATGTAGTTGAGCTGCTGAAGCAGAGAGTAAAAAGTGGCAGTACGACTATTTAGAACTAGAACAGGAATATTTGAGCTTATTTATTTTGCATAGGGGCCCATTTGGTGAGCTGACTCACAAACTCACTGTGCCTACCGATATTGATTCTTTGGGTTGGGGGTTGTTTCTTGTGTAGTAATGCTCTTCTTGTCATGTCTATCTAGTGCAGTGATATAAACCCCCATGTCTTCATAATAGATCTTGATGTTTTGGTTGTGCTAAATTGTATCATACTAAAATCAGAACAATTTGTGCCCTACCTTTTACATTTACTGTTCCTTTAAATTACTTCTCTCTTTGAGAGTTTCTTCCTACTAGGGCATGATAACCTAGAGTAATTGTTACACTAATATGATCAATAAGATATGAAAACTCCAGCACTCCTCCTGACAATGATATAGCATATAGGAAATAATGTTCTCTTCGTTATCCAGTCATTTATAAAATGCTCGGCATGATAAGATCTATACCCTCTAAACAACTAATAAAGTGGCAGACAGAAATTTTTTCAGGAGGATTCAGGAGGAGAAGAATTCTTTATGTGCTCTCAGAAAACAACTTCCTGCAAAAGCCAACAGAGTTTTCTCAGAATCAACCTATCAACTATGCTGAGATAATTGCAAAGCCTAATTTTCCAAAGATATTTGTTTTCTGTAGCCTTAGACTCAAGTTTAGCTGTATGTACCACATCAACAGAATATATAACTTCAGGAAGAAGCAGGTAATCCAAGTTGTCCAGTCAACTTACCCATGTACCTCTTTGTGTTCTACCATCCTCAACGTATGGTTTTCATCCTCCAGATAATCTCATGACCCCAAAATAATTCTTATTCTGGCTATTACATACAAACTGCCGATTGGCATCAAAAAGAAGCTGAACAAGACAAAAGGCCACCTCTATATTTTATGGAGACTTCACCTTACATAGCTTCAAAGAAGACTGGTCTTTGTTTTGGGGTGCATTATCACTCCAAGAAAAATCAAAGCTGGTAGTGAAGAAGGTAAGAAGACATACTAGAGGAGGTAAACCTAGCAATCTTCACAATATCTAGTAACTTGTCACAGGCTCTAGAATCCCTCTTTTATAAAGTCATTCCTTTTGTTTTAAATTTCTGCAATGTTATGTGCAAATACATTGCTTTGAATGTGGTAAAATATTAACAAATTAAGACTCATTCACATAGGATTGCAAAACAGTCTAGAAGATTAACTTTTGCTTTCAAGAATGAAATCAGAAAGGAACCAAAACCATTCATTTGAAAACAAAGAGAAACAAAGGATACGTTAAGGGAAAGGATCTAGAGGGCTCTATGAAGTCAAGGCAGTACATGTGGAAAGGCTGAGAGTAGGAAGAGAACCAAGAACAATTTGGCTGACTCTGTGGGGAGGGGGTTTTTTTTTAGACTGATCGCATATGTTTAGGTTAACACAGTGCTATGTAATTGCTATAGTTTATAGATTATACCAAAGACAGTATATGAAAAAGCAAGCAA